ACGACTATTATTATTATATTATTTTGCATAATTCTGCCTTTGCTCCTTGGGCACAACGGAGAAGCCCCCCTCCCCTTGGGGGGGAATCTCAGATTAATGACCCCTCCCTCTGAATGGGCCTCTTTGGCCAACCTGTGGTTGCTGCGCAAAAGACGCTTGCAAGGCAATGCCATTAAATCTCGTAGAACCACTGCACTGGAAGGGACCCTGGAGGCCTTCTAGTCCAACCTCCTGTTTCAGCAGGAGATCCTAAAGCCCTGATGGCGAACCTATTCCACATGTGCCACAGGTGGAGCGCGAAGCCCTCTGTGGGCTCGCAAGCTGTTGCCCCAGTTCAGCTCCATCGCGCATGCGTGCGCGCCTCCCTCTGGCCAGCTGGTCTTCGGGTCCCAGACAAGTGGCTGTCGAACATCTTCTTAAAGACTTCCAGTGTTGCGGCACTCACAACTTCTGGAAGGAAATTGTTCCACTGATTAATTGTTCTCACTGTCAGGAAATTCCTCCTCAGTTCTAGGTTGCTTCTCTCCTTGATTAGTTTCCACCCATTGCTTCTTGTTCTAACCTCAGGTGCTTTGGAGAAGAGGTTGACTCCCTCTTCTTTGGGGCAACCCCTGAGATATTGGAACACTGCTATCATGTCTCCCCTGGTCCTTCTCTTCACTAGACTAAACGTACCATTACCCATTCTTGCAACTCTTCTTTGTATATTTTAGCCTCTGCATTCTTCCTAGAACGTCCACATGGTGTTTTTTTTAATATTATGGTGACCAAAACTGGATGCAGGATTCCAAGTGTGATCTCTAATCAGGGAGAGAGCTGACGTAGAAATAAGGAGAAATTTGTTGACGGTAAGAACAATTAATCTGTGGAACGACTTTCCTCCCGAAGTTGTAAATACTCCAACACTGGATGTTTTAAAGAAGAGATTGGACAAGCATTTCTCTGAAATTGTATAGGGCTTCCTGCCTGAGCAGGGGGTTGGACTAGAAGACCTCCAAGGTCCCTTCCAACTTTGTTACTCTGTTAAAAAAAAATCCGGTTGCCAATTGAAAAGCACATTTGGGTTGCTTGCTTTCCTTCTAGGACAACTTTATAACAAGTCATTGCCAATAGTACTCATGGGGTGCATAGTTGCGTATTGTTGTTGCTGTTCTTGTCTTTTTAGCGGCCCAACTGTTTACTTTTTGGGCAGGCTAATCTCGGTTCTTTTTGTGTCACCTAACAGGTGACACAAAAAGCTTTCGGTGGCAGCCCTAAAAAAATCCCTTGCTTTGACGTCCTTTTGAAGAGAAAGATTTGAGGGTGGTAGCTTCAGCGCTCCCTCATTCCGCTTTGCATGAGAAGCAGAGGGACGCTAAGACTCGAGGGAGGCTTTTTCTGATTTCACCAATTCAGTTTTAAGGTCTTTGTCGGAAAGA